ACCTTGAACTCACTCTATAGTCTAGGCTGGCCTTGAATTTATGGTGATTTTTTTTTTTTTTTTGTGGTGATTCTTGTGCCTCAGCAATCAACAATCAAAGGCAGTCTAGAGTAGAGCAGTGAGCAGCAGGATCTAGATCATAGTTGGAGCTGAGATTTCTTTTCTTTTTTTTTTTTTTTGGTCTTTTTCATTTTTATCGGTACCGGCGATGGAACTCATGACCGCCTGCTTGCAAGGCAGGTGCTTATGCCGCTGAGCTAAATCCCCAGCCCCTGGAGCTGAGATTTCTAAAGATAGGCTCTTCAGACAAGTTGCTTTAGGGAATTGTGTTGATGTGTCAGATCAGTGGTGCAGGGAAGGTGAGGTTGTGTTGGCCCTAGGCACTTCTGGTGTCTTTCCTATGTGGTCAGAGATGCCCTTGATGGGGAACCAGGAGTCTTGGGTCCATGCTTTGCCACCACTATCTGATGGCTTTGAACAAGTCTCCCTACCTCATTTGGCCTGCTGTTTGTGTACAGTGTTGGTGAGGACAGTGATGCTGAATGCTCACCCCTTCTAGCACTGTTCATATGCTTGCTTTCCCGAGAAGTGCTTCACATCAGGTTGTTAAGTTGAATGTGTGGAGCAGACTATCAAGTTGTTATTTCTCACAAGATGTGTTACAGAGTACACTGCCATGCCCAGTGACTTTTTACAACTGGCCTAGTGTGGCCACCCAACATCTACCTGGTCACTTGCTGGGACAAACACAAGAGAATTACAAACAGGAAAGGCTCTGCTCTTTCCCACAAGTTGTACCTGTCTACCATTGACCCAATGTCTGGATTTTTACCTAACCAATGTGGGAATAGAAGTTACTAAGTGTGGTTGCAGTGTGGAACAGCTGTGATCTCCTGGAGGCTATTGTCATGGTCCCCTGTCCCTTTTAAAGCTGGTACCTTTTCTTTGCTTTCAGACTCTGTAGTTGGGATTACAGAGTATCAGCAAGAGTCCACCACTGAAGTGTTTTTAATTGGAATGAATGTAGCTCTCTTACTAGTAACTCTAAGTCCCTGTGCAGGCTTTGTTTAAATTGAACAGTCAGGCCTTTTCATTTGTAAACCTTAGATTTTCTCATCTGGTATGCACATTTCAACCAAAAGAGCCAATGTTCGTGCCTGAAGTCATATTTATTGGTGAGTCTAGCGTTCTGCTTCCTCACTGAGACAAAATGATATCTGGATAGGTTTTCTGGGTCACACATGCAGTGTGTCTTCCTTGTTGTTGGTGGTCTTGGAGTGCAGGGGCCAGGGACCTGTGTTCTACCTCAGGATACTGGCTGAGGAGCAGCCATTTTCCTGAGCTTCCACCCTTTACTATGTTGAGGTCTTTTGTTTTCCTGAAAGAAAAGATTTCTGCAAAATTCCAAAGTCTAAAGTTGTGATCTTTGGCCTCTGTTTAAAGGAATTTCTTTTTCTAATGCCTTTGTTTTAACTTTGTTTCTTAAATTTTATTGCCATGTGCATCTACTTTGGATAAGAACTGTAGCAGGTCCTGAAGAAATTGTGTTGGTGGCAAAATTGTTCTCATTTGTGTGAAGAAAGATAAATTATTTTCTGCTGAGAATTGTATCGACACGCTGATTAAAAAACACTCTGGCTCCAAAGGTCTCTTTTTTGTTTGATGGATTTATAATCAAGTTGTCAGCATTGAAATTGTTCCTTTGAAGAGTTAGCCTTACTAGTCAGGACTGGTCCATACCACCTTGAATTTGGGCCCTTGACTCCACACAGTGAGCCACTGATCCACTGGGTATCTGTGGGTTCTCTATGATCCCAAAGTGCAACAGTAAAACCTACTTGGGGTCTCCTCTGCTACCTTTTTTGTAAAAATTATTTATTTATTTATTTATTATTATTTTTTATTGGTACTGGGGATTGAACTCACGACTGCATGCTTGCAAAGCAGGCGCTTATGCCACTGAGCTAAATCCCCAGCCAGGTTCCTCTGCTACCTTTGATAGTATTGTCTGCTTGTTTCACAAGGAGGTGATGAGATGTGCTTGTTGCTCCTCAGCTCCAAACCTAACCTTGGGCAGTCAGAGTCCCCAATGCTGACCAGCTCTTTTTAGATGTCTAATTGTACATCTAGTTACCCACAGAAAAGTGTGTCACAGGAATATACCATATGTGCTGCAACATATCTAAAACTGAACCCTTCTCATTGCTTCTCAGATTCTTCCTTTTTGTTTTTGTTTTTCTGCATTACTGACCCTTTAGCTGCACTGAGGACAGAACTGGAATGCTGTCTGTCTGGGTTACTTTTATCTCATTCCTGAGACAAAATACCTGACACACAAAAGAAGGAAGGAAAGGTTTATTTAGCTTACACTTTCTGGAGATTTCAGTCCATACTCAGCTGATTCCAAGTCAGGGTGGCATGGCTATGGGGCAATTGTTCATGGTGTCTGCAAGTGACAAGACCAAAAAAGGCACGAGGAAAAAGCATGCTTGCCTTATATTGTATGCCAGCACCTGCCCCCTGGGCAGGTATAGCACTGACACCACTATCCCAGTGCTAGATAACAAACCAATCACAAACACTAGACTCAGCCACCTCCATGACTGCATGAGGCTTTGAGGGGACATCCAGACACAAACCATAACACTGTCCTTAATTCTTTCCCTTCAGAATCGATCTTATCTATGATGTGTTGACATCTCTGAGTTTTACTTAATTCTCTGAAGCACCACATTCTCACTGGTCCTTTTTAGTCTACTTTGGCCCTTTCTAGCTCAGTCTTATCCTTCCTTCTAAACAGGTAAGTATCTTTCCTTGTGAGCCCTTCCATAGCTCTCAGTCATTTGCCAAGAAGGCCCTCGTCTTTACCAGGATTTGCACTGCTTTCTTTAATCTAGTTTCTGCTGACTTTCCAAAAACTTCAGCCCCCAACCCTGGCTTTGTACCACCAAACTGCCCATTGCCATGCATATTCTGAGCTGGGCCTCAGAGTATGCTGTTCTGTCTGAATCACCATTTCCACCTCTGCTTGCCTGACTCATTCTTGCTTTGAAATTCAGTGTGGGAATGACTTCCTTTTGGAAACCTTCCATAACCCCGTGTCATTCTACATGGGTCTACTCTTCTTTCTTGAACTTAACACCTTGCTCTGTTGAAGTTACCTGATTTGTTGTTGTTTTCCTTTGGAGGGAGTGGTGATGTCAGGAATTGAATCTAGGTCTTCAGGCATGATTTTGTGCTTTCACTTAGACTGTAAGCTTAATGAGTTTTTTTAGTGGTACTGGGGATTGAATTTAGGGCCTTTGCATTGAACTACATGCCCAGCTGTTTCTTCAGTTTTTATTTTGAGGCAGGCAGAATCTTTTTGTTGTTGTTGAGACAGAGTCTCATTGTGCAGTCCAGGTTGGGCTTGAACTCACTATGAGCCCAGGTTGGCCTTGAACTGGTAACAGTCTTTCTGCCTCAGCTTCTCTAGTGCTAGGATTATAGATGTATACCACCATAACTGGCTATAAGGTAGAATCTTGCTAAATTGGCCTGGGCTGGACTTGAACTTGCAGTCCTTCTGCATTAGCTTCCTAGAATGGTGAGATTACAGTGCTGTGCCACCATGCTGCCTCTGTGTGTATGTTAGAATATAACCTACACTGAATCACGTCTTATTCCTATATTTTTGTCACCTAATAAATGTTAAAATAAATGTTTCATCTGAATTGATCATTTCATCCCAACTTTTGTATGTCATAATTCATAGGATATTTGCAGCTCCTATGGGACCCTTAGATAGACTTAAATGTGGCAGTCTAGGTAGAAAAGCAGTAACCTCTGGAAAGCAGTAATTTCAGTGCTTCACCTCCCCTTATCCAGCCACTTTCCCTGCCCCTAAATGTTAATAGCCAAACATCTTCACCTGGCAAATAAATGGAGAGAGTTTCTGGATTCTCATCCCAAGGAAGTAGAGTGCCCTGATCTATGTATAGCCTGAGTCCCATCTAACTGGAAGTGCTGGTATCTTCTCTGAACTCAAATCCTATTCTGTCTCTTAATAAAGTCTAGACTAGTTTTTTTGTTCTTTTGTTTTTTTGGTTTTTTTGTTTTTTGTTTTTTTTTGCAGTACCAGGGATTGAACTCATGACCTCACGCTTGCCAGGCAGGCACTTATACCACTGAGCTAAATCCCTGGCCCTCTAGACTAGTTTTGTAGTTACTTAGTGGTAATATGCTGAGGTTTGTAGTCCTAAGTTCAGTGTGATAAATTTTAGGTAACTCTGAGCCTTGAGAAGGTTTCTAGCTGTTGATGAGCTAGAGAATGTAGATATCCTGGAATAGGATGTTCAACACTAAGGGAGGGCTGTGCATGAGCAAAGCAAAGCAAAGGAAACCATTCAAGAAAGAGTGAGGTAGGATGGGGATTTAGCTTAGTGTCATAAACACCTGCCTGGCAAACCCCAGTACCAAAAAAAACTGGTGAGGGAAGAGACCAGTATTTGTTGCACAGGTGACCAATCCCTGCAAGAGATCTAGAGGACTGGGAAAGTTCTCTATGAGGAAGGCCTTGGAGAGGCAGGTTTCTGGGCCCTGGGGAAAGATGATGTTGGAGGAGCCTCCAGTATCCCATGCTCTCATTTCAGAAAAGATGAGTCAGAGTAATAAAAAGAGCGATTTTTTAACATTTATAAAATATGAGACTTCAGCTAGGTGAAGGAACCTAGGCAGAGGAAAGAGGAAGGGCGTGGCAGCTGAGCCTGGTACATTTCTGCCCGTGGTCAGGTTGGACATACAATATGAGACTGAGACCCAGGGGTACACAAGTCAAGGCCCAGTCTGTTACCTACAATCTCCACTGAGCCTGAACTCAGTGCTCAGGGGCTAAAATCAGGGAACCATGTTAAGGCTAGGTGTTTAGTCTTTATCAGACTTAGTGGAGTTGAGGGAGGGTGGCTGGTGTCTCCTCAGAGGTTTCCTCAGTTATGTTGACTTTGCATCTTTTATCTACATAGTTGTAGACGGGGTGCTGCCTGCAGAGCAGGTCCTGCCAGCTTCGCTGGAGAGGATGCCCCCATGTCCGTGATGGGCTGTGGGACAAGCAAGGTACTTCCTGAGCCGCCCAAGGATGTCCAGCTGGATCTGGTCAAGAAGGTGGAACCCTTCAGTGGCACTAAGAATGATGTATACAAGCACTTCATCACAGAGGTGGACAGTGTTGGCCCTCTCAAGCCTGCGTTTCCAGCTGCCAGTCAGTATGCACCCCCTAGCACTGGTGCCCCCACTACTGGCCACACAGAGCCTCCCTCAGAACCACCACGAAGGACCAGGGTGGCAAAATACAGGGCTAAGTTTGATCCACGAGTGACAGCTAAGTATGACATCAAGGCTTTGATTGGCCGAGGCAGCTTTAGCCGAGTGGTACGTGTGGAACACCGTGCAACCCGTCAGCCATATGCCATCAAGATGATTGAGACTAAGTACCGAGAGGGTCGGGAAGTGTGTGAGTCTGAGCTTCGAGTGCTACGCCGCGTGCGCCATGCCAATATCATCCAGCTGGTGGAAGTGTTTGAGACACAGGAGCGTGTGTACATGGTGATGGAGCTAGCCACTGGAGGTGAGCTCTTTGACCGCATTATTGCTAAGGGTTCCTTCACTGAGCGTGATGCCACAAGGGTGCTGCAGATGGTGCTGGATGGTGTCCGGTATCTGCATGCACTGGGCATCACACACCGTGACCTCAAGCCTGAGAATCTGCTCTACTACCACCCAGGCACTGACTCCAAGATCATCATCACTGATTTTGGCCTGGCCAGTGCCCGAAAGAAGGGTGATGACTGCCTCATGAAGACCACCTGTGGCACACCTGAGTACATTGCTCCTGAAGTCCTGGTCCGCAAGCCGTATACCAACTCTGTAGACATGTGGGCGCTGGGCGTCATTGCTTACATCTTGCTCAGTGGTACTATGCCCTTTGAGGATGACAACCGTACCCGGCTGTACCGGCAGATCCTCAGGGGCAAGTACAGTTATTTGGGGGAGGTAAGTCTTTTTTGCTACTATCCCATGGATATTGGGAGGTTCTTGGTAGGGTGTATAACCTGCAGCTCTTGGTTAGACTGATGTTCTCTAACAGCCAGGTAGGTTATATAAAAAGACTGCAGTGTCTTAATTTGGGTTCCCTTGAAAGTAAGCCCCGAGACAAGGACTTGGAAGCAGATAATTTATGTGGGAAGTGATTTTATTAATCTCAAGTAAAGGATTGGGGAAAGTGAGGCAAGAAAGAGAGAAAGCCAGGAATGGGTAATTGAAGAAGTGGGCTGCCTTTGTGGACTACTGGAACTCAGTCCCTTTGGGTATCTTGTGAATAATCACACAGCACATGCCTCAGAATTTTATCACCAAAGGCCAAGGAAGTGTGCTTTTTGTTTTTTAATGTACCCACTGGACCTCAAAGGTTGAGAATTTCTTTGGGGCCATTAAATCTCCATTGAAGGGCTGGAAAATGTAGCTCATTATAGGGTGTTTTCCAAGCGTGCTCAAGCCCCTGGATTATCCCCAATAATGGAAAAAAAAATTGTGGTGTTTTCAGGATATCTTGAATGCCATTTAGTACTGGAGAAAATCCTCAAGCAGAAAAACAAAGATCTTAGCAGTGTGAGACATGGTAGCTGCAGAGGTGGGCTGAGAGGATATGAGACAGGGCTTTCCTAGCACCTGCTCTATGGGCTTCTGGTAAACTGGAGTGAACATGCCTCATCTCAGACAGCAGTTGCTTCTCTTTTCTCCAGTTTTGCTAGGTCACAGGTAGGACCCCATCTATCCATAAACTCCATCTAACTCAAAAGAGGAGCCAGATATCTGATCCTAATATGCTGGAATCTAGGTCACATATTTAAGTAGTATCTTATATGTCAAATGACATTAAACTATAGGCTAGATCCAGCTAGCAAGCCATCATTTTGTGTCTTTGGGTCCATTGCTAGTTCTGATACCTGCAGTTATTTGTTAGCTGTCAGAACTACTGGTTTGTCAAAGGATGGTGCAAAAAAAGACAGAGCTGGTTTGTCCTTAGGAAGGGCATTGTCTGTAAGAAACAAGGTTGACTCAAGAAATAGCAAGTACTATAAACTGGCTGTGAAGAAAAGAATGTGGGACTGTTTCACATGGGAGATGAGCTGAGTTTTGCAAGATGACAGGACTCTGCTGAGGCAGTGAAGGACCTGAATGATCACCACAGAATATTCCACTGTCTTTGTGCCTCTTGTACAGTGTACACAAAGGAAAAGGTGCTCTAGGAGCAACTCCCTTCTGCTGCTCAACTTTCCTTCCAGGGGTGTGGGCCTGGTGCTCTTATCACCCCACCAGTTGTCCCAGAGCAGAGTTCCCTGCAGAAGTCACCCAGTTGCCTCCCATCATTGCCTTCAACCATTGAGTTCCTGTAGTGCATCACCTTCCCTGTCAGCTTCCAGACGTGTCTATGGGTTTAAGAGTGTCCCTGTTTTGGGATGAAGGATCCCCAGGTCATACATCTCACAGCTGGTGCAAGTAATGAGGAAAGCTTTTTTCTTCAGACGAGCTCTGTATCAGGTACAAGGGAGGTTGTCTGTGCACATCATTTTTAGGAGAGATAGGTGGCATTGAGGTTGTTGGTGATTGTTTATACCAACAAGTGACCTGTGGATTCAACCTCATGGAAAGCTCAGGCCGGGCCTGCTATCACTTTCAGATTTTAAATGGACTGGATAGTCTATAGAAAATTTGGTGTGGTGGTGCATGCCTGCAATCCCAGCACACAGAAGACTGAGGCAGGAGGATCACCATGAATTCAAGACCAGCCTGAGCTATATAGTGAGACTCTCTCAAAAGAAAAAAAAAAATTAACTTTCATATACATGCTGATCTGAGCGGTAAATGGGACCGTACAGGTACTGAACTCTAGAGGATGGTATGTGAAATGATTGTCCTAGTTGTAAGCTAGAAATACCCAACTTGGAATCACTGTGGTCTAATTAGATTTGATTTAAGGCTCAATTAAAGCTTTAGGTTTGGTTTCTCAGTGCAAGTGTGGGCTTCTGATGTTTATATAGGGGGATGGGAAGAGGTGGGGATGGGAAGAGGTATGTATGGTAGCAGAAGGAACAACTTGGAACTGAAGGAAGCTCATAGTAGCCTCCTCTGTAGCACTGAGTTAATTCCCTGATTTTTACTTGGTTCTCAAATTGGAACTGGCCATCAGGGTGGCACAATCCTATAGATATAAACTAATGATTATAGCCTCGCCCAGTGTCCCAGGACAGAGCTGTAAAGGCTTGCTAGAGCACTGCCAGCAGGGACTTGAAGTTGTTGCTGCCTTCCCATCTGAGGAGGCTACCTGACTGTGAAGTGAGTATCTGGAAAGGACGATCTCTGTGTAATCCATTTGTGCTGGTCCTTAACCTCTATGTAGAAAAGTAGAAAAGAGCTAGGACTCTGCTGGGAAGAAGTAAAAGCCAGTGCTTGTCACCCTTTAATGTCCATGCAGATCCTTGGGATCTTGTTAAAAATGCAGGTTTTAGCTGGGGATTTAGCTCAGCAATGTAAGTGCCTGCCTTGCAAGCATGAGGTTGTGAGTTCCATCCCTGGTACAAAAAAAAAAAAAAAAAAAAGAAAGAAATGAAGCTTAAAATGCAGGTTCTGACTCAGTAGAAACTGGTGGGGCCTGAGAGACTACATTTTTGTCCAGCACCCAGATGATATTGGTGATAAAGTCCTGCAGGCCACAGTTGGTGGACCAAGTATTTAGACAGATGCCATAAAAATGTGCTGAGTGGTCATGAATAGCTGTGAAGAAGGTGGGACATGGGTTTTGGAGGATGGCCAAGAGAAGTGAGACTGGGGAAAAGGAAATGGCATACACAAAAGTATGGGAAAGTAGCTGGGTGTTTGCCTGCCTAGAATTCCAGTAGCCTGGGAGACTGTGGCAGGTAGATGGTAAGTTCAAGCCCAGCCTGGGAAATTTAGTGAATTAGTAAGACTCTATCTCAGAACCAAAGAAAACACAACCTTACTACATCCCCTCCCTCCTGCACTCCTACCCAATCCCAACTCAACTAAACCACACCAGACACCACCAGTGTTGGGGTGGAGAGAATGTGCAGAAAGTAGCCTTGTTGTGGGGAGTGGCCTGAGGGTAGGTTCATCTATACCTGAGGTTATTTAGAGGTTCATGAAGGGACTTTGGAAAGTTCAGTTGTCTGGATAGGAGACTTTGAAGAACCATATTAGGTTGTAGTTGAAACTAGAATTTTAAAATACATTGTGAATGCTTTAAGATTGAAAGGGTTGTGTTCTAGGAGCTGTAGCCTAGAGCTGTAGCCCACTGCTCTGCATGGTGCCAGGTTATTTAGGGTCCAGCTGACGGGAGAGTACCAAGGTTAAGTAAGGGAGGGAGGCAAAAGAGGAGGGAGGTTTCCTAAGACTGCTGATGGAGGACTTTTTAAAAGTCTGTAGGTTTATCCAAGAATTCCTGATTCTGTTAATTGTTGATCAGGCAGTTTACCTAATTGGAGCTTTCATAGTCTAGCTAACTAGCTCTTGATTGCCTAAGGGTGAAGAATGATTAATGAATGGAGTAGGGAATAAACTCAGGTTTCCTGCTCCTACTGGAACCAAACGATTGAGTCCTAAGATTCTGAGTCGTGCTTTTGCTGTGGTAATGAGATGTAAATCTGGAGCTCCCAGTGTGCATGTATACCATATGCATGTGTGTGTATAGGGGGGAACTGTCCAGCCTTTGTACTCATCACCCTTTACCTGGAGCTGCAAACATCAGTTCTAGAGTCAAATTCCTGGTGAGCCCTGGTGATACGTGTCTAAAGTGAAAAACTTGGCTGATCCTCCAGATTCCATCCACTCTGGAGTCGGAGGGATTTGTCTGGCTGTTTTCTGGGGTAGGTGGCTTTATCACTGGATCAGGCTGTCTGTACTGGAGACTGATCTTGTCTTACTACTCACTACCCACCCACAAGCACATCTGGAGAAAATGCTTCAGAGACATAAAGCCTGGTCCCCATCCTTGTAGAAGTGTAGATTGCCTGGGGAAAAGAAGCTAAAATAGGAAATGCCCCCAAAATGAGGCCTTGTTGGCAGGCATAGGGCAGCATAGGGTTGACATAGAGCTGCTGGGCCTCTGCAACCTGGAACTTGAGTTGCAAGGCTCAGGTCAGGTGGCTGGGCTCTGTACCTTTCTTTCAGCTATCTGTCTTGTGCTGAGTGGTGGGCTTTTGTTCCCCCACAGGTCATGTAAGTGAGCAAGGCCCTGCCAGAGAAACCTGTTTGGTTATTGAGGGGATGTAGGGTGCAAATGAAATATTCCCATTCTGAGCCGGCAAAGTAGGGAGAGAAGCATTTCCTCATCAGGGAATAAGTCCTATATGGTTCTTGATTCCTTTCTCGGGCAGTCTTCCAGTCTCCTGTCCTTTTATAGAGGCATCTCTTACAGGCTTCCTAGTATGTTTATTTCTTTTGGGCTCCGTCCATGCAGACCATTGGACTCACAGGCTTGAATAGAAAAGAAGGTTACCTGTAGGAGGTGGGCAGACAAAGGGACATTGGTGACTAAGCTCCATTATAAACAGACTGTTTGGGAGGAGTAGAGCAGAAGTGGAAGAGGCTGGGGCAGGCCTGGTGCTATTGTTTGGTGTGCTGTAGTGCTAGTAGGAGGAGCCCTAGGTTCATGACAGTGGGTGAGGAATGCAGCAGAAAGTGTTGAAGGAGGATGCTAACTGGAGGCTGTGGGAGGCTCCACATAGGTAGGAAAGGTAGGACCCTCAGTTTAGGAAGAAAAGGAGTGTGCAGCAGAAACCAACCTGCAGTAGGGACATCAGGAGAGCAGATCTGGAGAAGAATCCAGGATACCTTCTGTGACCCAAAGAGTAGATAAGGCCCTGCCTTGACATTTCTGGTGGAAGCCAGTGGTGGTGGCAGTGCCCCATAATCCTGATATTTCAGAAACAACAGTCCATAGCCCAGGCCTCAGGCAGCACCTGACTTCTGCACAC